TTCCTCTGCAACTCCAAAGCAGGTCAAAAACTACCCCGCCCTTCAGAGGACTTTTGAGGGGAATTTTATGCTACCACAGGTTTGCCAAGAAAGGAACCATGTACAAGCAATCACAGGAACAACAATGTTGAATCTGGGTAGAATGATCCCAAGAACTTCATAATACTCAGTCTTTCCTACCACCAGTTGGCACTGGGACAATGCAATCATCATTCTCTAAAATGGCATTCACAGCATCTTGTTTGCCATGAAATTTGAAATATTCAAACAAAACTATTTTTTTTTTAAAAGTGTCTAGGACAACGTCTCCTGTCTGGCCAAATGGTAGTTACGATGGTATCTCATCAACTACATCACCCTCCTCAATCAGGGTAACAAAATTGTCTATCAAATTGAAGCCAAAGTTACCAATAATTTATTTATTAAGACACGAATGATGTGTTATAAAAGTGCATGGCAAAACCCAATTGGTCTACTGTGTAATATCACAAAAACAAATAAAAAACAATACAGACAATAAGTATTTGCTGCACATTCGACACAGCTTCATCATAAAATGAGGTATATAAATAAAAAGAAAGAAGAATTTATTTACACCGGGCTGTGCATTCAGTGACAAGTCTAGTACCCAGTGAGGAAATCGAACAACAAAAAACTACAAGTAAAAAAACCCTGGACCTAGTTTTGTGGCTGTTTTTCCTGTACATAAGCTTACATTGTCGAGCAAATGATACACAATGCGAAATCCTGAGACAAAAATTTAACAGATTTAAAAAATATTTTATCATCTATTTAATAACATAACTTATAGGTCTTGAGACTAGACTGGTTTGTTACCTTTTCGAGTACTCAAGATACCGCGTGCAGCGAATAGTATTTTAATTTTTAAAGCTTTGCAAAATATTTGGCTTCATTTGGCTGTTGCAACAATTCTCAGCTCGCCATTTTTCACTTCGACAGAAGAGATCGTTTCATCACTCGGGACCTTAACAGAAACGACTACTAAATTACTAACTTACTAATCTTCCTGACCGGCTGTTACCTTGGCGTGCGGCAGTTTCATTAAATTAAAGGCAGTACCGTCCCGTCCGCGGCTAGTAGTTTTTCGATTTAAAGTTCGGTAGTAAACATTATGTTGTTCGGTAGTAAACATTATGATGCTTGAGTCCAATGTGTGAGGTGAAAACAGCTTCCTCTTCATACACACGACGTGGATAGGCAATGATTTGCTCAAAATTCGCAAAATGAACAGCGCTGAACTTATTTTAAAAACTGCATATTCGTCCGCCATTCCTCTTGCCGCCATCTTGAAAACAAGATCTGCCAGACGTCTCGCCCGTTGTCTCCTTCCCGCCTTCCTTTGCGCGCACATTTTCATCAAAAGAGAGACGTCTGGGTACGAGGCAGGGGTAAAAACCTATCATTTTAAAGCAGTCATGTTATAATTTCACTCTTTAGATTGAAAAATTTTTTATTTTATACAAATGGTTTCAATTTTTTAATCATGGGCCACATTTGTATGTACCCTTTAACACGGTTAATTTTCTACCTTGTTCAAATGTTTTTTGTTTTTAATTTATTAAATTTCAGGTATTTTAATGAGAAACTTGGTGGGGAAAGAGGAATAAAGAAACCAAACTCTGATGGCATGGCACAACAAGAGAAGCCTGCAGGTAGAGAGAGAGAAGGGAAGAAAAGAAGAACTGCTGCCCAAGTTCATGATTCTTTCAATTCAAAGATGCAATATCAAATAAAGTATTTTTTAAGTGCTTTACATTGTGATATCTGTTTCTCCTAAAATGGGGTTTGTTTGTCAACAAGAGCTCTATAGGCACACAACAGTTCAATAACCATACCAGTAGGGTTTACACAGTATCTTTTACATCTTCAATGCTAAAATACCGAAAATCGAGTTTTTTCTTTATCTAACATAAACTTAAGCTTAATTTACTATATACAAATTTAGCTGTCAAAAATTTAAGTGCGGTATCGAGACACCCATCTGGGTCCTCAATGTCTGTATTTCGTGAGAAATGTAAGAAAGATGTGCTGTTTTCTGCTGGAGGCCGTCACTTTAGTAAAAAAAAAAATACATATATATATATATATAGGAAGTCTGTGTTTCGATTTTTCCGTAGTAGAGTGCTCGATACGTTAAAGTAGAGCGTGATATAAATATTGGAAGTAGGAAAAAAACTACATATATATATATATATATATATACATACATTACGAAGTGAATCAAAACCCGCAACACTTACTTTTTGTGTTTCTTTCTTTCTTTTTTTTTTCTGGAGAGACACTTTTTGAGGCTTCGTTTAAAAAAATTAGCGAGTGCTTGAAAATGCCCAGAAATGCCGTAATGAAGCATATGTTGACAATATACACGTTTGCCTTGTTTCCTCTTTCGACGACAATCCGTAACCTCAGCTCCTCCATCGTGCAAAGATTCACTGGCACAAATTCAAGAAAGAAGCTCATCGTTTGGTACCTGTTGCTGCGCGTGAAAGTCCACTTAAGTTGAACAAAACTTGGTTTCGCGGATCCTTTGTCAAAAAACTGAAACTTTGTTTTTCGCTGTGGCATGCACATAGAAAATCTTCCTGTTCAAATGACCGATTTCCAGCTACCTTCGGCTGAAGTTGCAGTAACCTGACGAAAGGGCCGCCATATTTGATCTGGCAATATTGGCTAGGCGTTCTCGGCAAGTATCTCTCGTTGACGTCACAGCTCACGGTAGAGTCCAGGATTGACCAAGCCGAGAACGCCTAGGGACTTTGGACTTAGCCTGCGTAGCAGGCGCTTGGAAGTAGCAGGCGAAAGAGAGAACGGGCGCGCGCGAGGGGGGCGCTTGGAAGTAGCAGGCGAAAGAGAGAACGGGCGCGCGCGAGGGGGACACGCAAGGGGTGAGGGAGCTTCTGCACGGAAGGCCCCTGAAAATCGTTTCAACTCGCACTCTGTGAGTGCGGATATTTCCAATTGGTCGAGAGGCTCCCGAGGGAAAAATTAACCGCGCAGGGCGAGAAAACTGTCAATCAATATGGACAACGTAGTGAAGATCTTGCATTACACCACTGGGTCCTGAAACCACTAATTTGTATACAATCGAAGTTCAGGTCTCGGAGGTCACTTCAATCTCGTTTAATGGGACTATGTGGCTGTAATCTCAAAGAAAAGTTGGAGTGTTCAAACGGTATTCACGATGGAAAGAATTGACATCGGATACGCATCAACAGAAGTGGCGAGAGACAAAAGATTTGTCGAATCGTTGCAATGAAGATCAGAGGAAATATTCTTTGCTCAGGAGAACTTGGCGGCTTGTGCTGTCGATGGAACGTATATCATCAAAACTTGGACATGATTGATGAAATGAAACACTTACAAGGGGCATGAATTTGAAAAAAACATTTCACTATAGTAGTATTCGCCGTTCGGAGGCGACCTGAGGTCTGTTGTTTATGTCTCATTACTACAGTAGAAAACATGCATGTCGGTACAGTTTGTGTTCTGAGGTTTAGGTCCGCTTATTAAGACATGTCTGCTCCAAAAACGGCTGCCAGTTAGCGCAGTAAAAGCAATATGTTCATTTTCCACGTACGCTGTGATCGTTGGTGTCTGACCAGAACAATCAGGGGCACCCAACGAGAATATAGTTCAAAACCACTTAAAGATAGCTTGTTCAACGTATTTTAGTATTTAAACGTTAGATATAGGCATATTTTTATCCCCTAAAAATTTTTCATCTGTTCGGATTTCCTAGCTGAAAGTCTAGTGATCCGAAAATTATAGGGATCAAAACTTACCTTTTCGAAAGTTTTAGCCAGAAAAAAGACTCCCGAAAATTCTAGGTGATCTTTTTAGGGTAAAAATCCGTTAAAAATAGGCAATTATACCAATTTTTAGATGTCCGAAAATCCTAGGAGAGGCAGGCAAACAAGAAATTTTACAACAAATGTTCCGAAAATTCTAGATCTCAAATCGTCTTCCGAACAGATATTTTTCCGAAAATTGTCGTTGGGTGCCCCTGAACAATATTTTTAGTTTTTATAATACACAGCATGCATTCTTTAAAAGATACCCAGTTTTGACTTTGTTATTTCCTATTTATTGTGCCCATGTTAAAAAACGATTTAAAGCTGTGTGTTAACCATCAGTTTATTGCTCCATCGCTCTATAATCAGATAACCCAGCTGATCTTTATAACAGATATATTTAGACCGAAGATAAAATGTACAATGCTTTTTGGCGGCTTGCTTTGTTTGTGCGAGGTCAGTCGTTTTCGGTCAAAACTTTTGACAGATCACGCAACGGCTGCCAAGTAATTAGAGAGGGGGCGGGAAACGATTTTCGGGGGCCTTCCGTGCAGGCGCTTCCTCTCCCCTCGCGTGTCTCCTTCTCGCGCGCCCGTTTTTTCTTGTGCCCACTAATTCCAAGCGCCTGCTACGCAGGCTACTTTGGACTAGGCTAGGTAACCTACAAAGAAAGCTGTGTAAAAGAATTCGAGTTTCCTTTGCTCAGGAACCCTCAAACTGAAAACTACGAACGGTTGGTATTTGAACAGGCGAAAGATCCAGTTATTCAGTGACTAAGCTGTATAATTATCCAGAAACAAATGATCCTTTCAAAAGTAAACATTGAAGTAAAATGTGTATAATTTAAGGGAACTAATACAACTCAATGCAAATTCAATGTAAATTACGGCTAACACAACTTCAAAGGGAATATTTAAAAGCTAGATATGAAATTCGAATCAAATAAGGAATACATGGGAAATCTCTCCTTACAACGGAAAAACTAATTAATTTTTTTCAATTTTAATCTCTGTTGATCTTGGTACCCTTAGACGACCTTTAACATTTCATCCTTTATTGATTTAACGTTCTTTCAATGATATCAATGTTATGCTTTATATTTTTATATATTTTGGGGGCGAATTACGGGATAGCGCAGCTGTTTTATTTTCCACTTGATTTAAAGTCTCTTACTTGTCTTCCTTTTTTCAGCTATTAAAAATAAAACTTTCTTTAAATCATACTCCAAAAGAAAATAAAAAAGAAACATGGTTAGGATTTTAGGATTTGCAAAGAAACATCTTAGAGAATGCCTTAGCATAAAAGCCGTTCATTGTTCCGTAACACACAGGATGCAAAGCACTTGGCAAACAAATTAATATAAAAATATACCTTCGCATTAGGCTATGATACCGAAATTTCCACTCGTTTACATCAGCTAATCTTTCCCACAAAAACACGGCTTGATATGGGAAATAACAAATCACAAATATTAGAATTATCGCAAATATCATCTTCAGCAAATCTTGCTCGGCTTCACTGGTGTTTTCTGGCTTGGTGCATCTACGGTTATTCACGTCTATTAAGACTAGGCCTGGTCGGTGTTCTTCTGGCGTCGTTGTTTCTCTCCTCCGATAGTTGGTGTGGAGTTCTAGGGGTGCAACTGAGGAAGGGATGACCGAGTTACTGCGAGCATGGGAGGTGTTTTGGCCAATTCGCTGTCTTAGGTTCCACGCTACCGCTCCGTAAGATGCTAGCATGACCAAGTAGGGTAGGGCATAATTCAGGGTGAATAACACGAGCAAATAGGCAGAGCCATTCCCAACAGGATGCCATTCACAATGGCCACCTACGAACCTGTTTTGAATAACGAATATGGGCACACAGACAGCAGTAGAAACAAGCCACAAACAGGAAAAGATCACAGTCTTCACTTTCCCAGATACAGGTCTTTGGATAGGATTGATGAGCACTCGGTAGCGGTAGAACGCGAGCCCTGCCAGCGAATGAGTTACTACCATCAATGAAATAACTTGGATGGGATTGTCAACGCACCAGATATCGCGGATGACAACATTCTTGTTTCCTTTTTCAAACTGCCAGACGTACATGATCGGTAAGCAGAGAGAGTTGACGATTTCTGCAAAGGCCATGTTGGCAACGAGATGGTATGAAAACGGCTTGCGGTGAGGCGCTCTCCATATTGCTTTACAAACGACCGAGTTACCGATCAAGCTGGCCAAGATGATCAGTGTGAACAAGGTATGACGAAAAATACGCAGGGGTAGAGTTTCCTGGTATTGGATCACTCCGTAGTTTTCAGACGTTCCACTGACAACAGACGTGTTGTTAAGCGATGTCATCGTGTTCTTCCAGTTCAACTAAGTTTTCTTGTAAGAGGGTGTGTTCCAAGGCGACTTGCAACCTTCTTACTTCTTTCACAACACTGCAGCTGTCTTATAAATGTTTGATCTGCATTTTAAATGGCAACGTAGAACTTTACTGACGGTTTTAATGAACACTCCTGAGCGGACACCAAAACATTTGCATATGCACTTTAAAAAAAATCAATGGAAATATGCAAAATAAGCATGACTTTTCACTTAACAGGGATATCAAAAGAACGCATGAATCGAAAACTACACGGGGATGTTCTCAGTTTTTATATTTCGAGCTTTTTTGTCTTTCCTTTTTTTTCTAATATCATTGTATTTGGTACTTTCTTTAAAAATTGTGAAATTTCCGTCTTTAAAGAAGCCTTAAACCAGCTGCTGTTAAATATTCTTTGCTGCCAGAAGAACGTTCGTGTGCCAATTTTGGGACAAAGCATAAACGACTTAATTGCCACATTGTCAACGCACTGAACCAGTCAGTTTTATGGTAACACACGCAAAATATTTTGTTTGTTTTTAAAAAAAGCGTTTCGCCTGAAGTTTCGCGTTACATGAACATTCTAACCGGTGTAAACTGACAAAATAAAAATAAGGTATTTCAGTAAATTCTTATCACTGGCAGGAAAGGGATTTGGACTGTTACTAAAGCCAACAACTCAAAACCCACGCCTTTTGACTTTTTTTTTTTCAGTAACATGAAAGTAAAGTAAAAGTTTTATTCTCCAGGGAAACTGATATGAAAAATATTTGGACGTTTGAGCACGTCTCCTAAATCCACAAGCACATCTGCGTTTTTCTTAAAGTTCTTTACGCTAACAGATCTTAGAACTTCAGGCGCAGAGTTCAGATCAGTCTGCACAAACATGCATTGCGGTCCTTTCTAAGCAAGTTGTTTAGGTTGAACCCGACATTCTTCACAACGCAGACTATTTGCTTTTTCAGTCGTTGCTGATGGTATACCGCCTGAATGTAAAATGACGTTCTCAAATTTGAACGTTTTTTCTTTCAGCGCTACTAACTCATACTAAGGCCTGTGGTCTCTGACGTTCATCATCAATTGTGATCAAAACATTTCTTTTCCCTTTTTGTCTTTTTAACAAAAAACGCGAAAGAAGTCACGCAAACGTGAGGTTGAACCAGAACCAACATTTTTAAAAGAGCAAAGAAAAAATCATCAGACTATTTTAATTTGGCATTTAAAAATCTTAACATTAAAAATGGCCCAACATGTCCAAGGGTTATTATTTTCTTTACCCGAAAAAAAATAACCTGGTCTTGCTTAGTAACATGACCCTGCGATACTAAAGGTCATTAGTTATCTAGAACTAAAACCAACACGAATTCCACTTCTCTCCTGTTTCTACTCAAATTTCCATCCACGCAACACTACTTTTCCCGTAAAATAAGTTCAATGTCACTGATATCATTACAGCTTTTTCGTCCTGTTTTCAAAGTTTCCACCACGTCTTCCATTTTCACATAAACACAAAGCACGTTCATCAAACTTTATTATCATTCGTTTCATCGGTTTAGTACATCTATTCATCGGTATCTCCTTCGCGTCGTTTTCCACATTCTTGACCACTAAAAACAGAAAAACGTTGCAAACCTCTCTTAGTCTGGCGTACATCATCCTTTTTTACATTCTTGTTATGATCCAGAAAAGCACCTGCATTTCCATCCTCTTGCAATAAATCCTCAAATTGACAAGAACGAAAAAAAATTGTCTTCTCATCCAGTCATCTAACTTGATCATATATTTGTGAAATATTGTTTTTAATTTCCTGCACGATAATGAAACTGTTTTTTCTTTCATCTTAGATCATCGTTAAACTACAATTTTCTTTTCTCTAATTAATCTAAAAGAGCAATCGGTTTGGCGTCATGAACTGACTAATTATTCATTAACACACTTTTTCTTGTTTTTTTCAAATTGTTCATTTATCATGAGATAAATAAAAATTCTGTTTCATAAAATGTTTCATTTATCATGCAACAATTACGACAACAAAATTAGAATACCGTAAATTCTCTATTAAGCCCCCTTCCAAATAAACCCCCCCCACCCCCCGCCCTCCCTCAATTTTTCTTCACAAAAAGTCTTGGGCTGCATGACCTCCAGGCTTTCATATTGTTTTTGGTCTTGGGCTGCATGACCTCCAGCTTCATATGCTTAACTTTCTCAACTTTGCGCTCTAGTTCTCTGTGGAGAATTGTCGCCATTTTCTTATCGTTAGACAAAGCCGTATACCGCCCGGGAACCACAAGTCCGTCCTCGAGAAACCTTGCTCCTGTCGGTGCAAATTCAAAGCTGCAACCTTTACGAGATAAAAATTTACACAGCAGAAATGGTAATTCTACAGGTGATGCGTTTCGCTAAATTAAATAAGCGACCCCGTCTCTTTTAAGCCCCCTCTCTATTAAAAAAGTGCTTGGAAAAAAAAATAAGGCAATAATAATAGAAGATTTACGGTAGTTCGCATTTTCATCAAAGTTTGTGAAATAATAACTTAGTGTTCTATTTATAGTACGGTTCATCTTTCATAACATATACAACGCTTACTTCACCTCGAAATAACTAAAAATACGTATTATTTACTAAGAGATGCTCTGTATTTTGGGCGCAGGAACAAAGTTCAATCTTTGACAAGCGTCCTCCAATGGTTCCTAAAAGTGTTTCTCAAAATAAACGTTCATGAAAAACTTAGATTGATAGCCACAGTACACAGCCCAGGGGATGTAATATTTCCTCAGGTTAGCGCGTTCCCTGTAGAGAAATTTACAGCGCAAGAGTTATTAATAGGCGAGACTACAAGACAGTATTGAAATGGAATATTCGAAGGAACTCTGAGCCTCTCTGTGAGTACCTGGGTTGCCTCGTTCCCAGGCGTCTCAACTATGGAAAACGGAAAACGCCACTGCACGAGCCATCAAGGAGTATCGCGCAATGGACCATGGGAAAGTTTAGCGTGGACGCAAAGGACGCTGGGAAGGGTGAACGATACCTAGCGCGCAACCAAAATCCCAGTCGCTCTCGAATCCGCTAGAACGTGCCTGGGTACGAGGCAGGTACCTGGGGACGTCGTTTTTGTCGCGCGTTTTCCATCAAATCGTCGGTTTTTCAACGAAATCGCCACAATTTAAGACTGAATAGTTTTGCGTGGTGACGCTACTAGCACGCTCGAGCAACTAAGACGAAGACAACGGAAACGGAAAAATAAATAAAGTAACAGGTTTAACACTAGCAAAACAAAAGCCCTGAGTAAGCAGCTAGCGCTTGCAGCAGACATTTTGGCAGATTTCTTTGCCATCATCGTCTAGTCTAACATTGTCAAAATTGATCGGAATGGCAACGCGATCATCGCTTTCATCTCCAAGATCGTCGTTTCATCAATAGCGATCGTTACGTCTTTGATTTCGTCGGAAATGTCCATAGAGAGTTCCAACTATCGCATTGTTTATTAGTGTTAGAGTAGAGCGAGTTTGTAACTACAAAATTGAAATGTAAATGGTTGAGTAGAGTTTGGTCTGAAATTGTTTAAGATAATCGCAGCTTTGGTGTTAGTTTTCCATACATAAGTACGTTTGACATGATTTTCATGTCCCAAAGGGATGGACAATGTTCCAGCTTCTCATCTGAAGAAGGTACCGTGCTTGAAGGGTCCAATGTGTACGGTTTCCTGTCAGATTACCCAACCTCTCTATTTCATTAAGTCGTAGCCTGCAGTGCAAGCGTATTTTGGGTAGGCGAAACCTTGTTCGTGTTCGTATCCCTGTTACCCAGCAGGGTGCCAGAGACTTTTCATGCGCGGTTTCCGGTTTCGGTCAGGCCGAAGACGTGTCGGCCTGCGGCCAATGAAGCTCTTCGTCACACGCGAGAAAAAATCTTTGGTACCCAGGGTATATCGCTGTAGCCGCCATCTTTGATTCTATGACAGTGGAAGATTGGGGAGAGTAGAAATGGTAACCCTTCCTCTCCTCGGGAAGTTTCAACATGGCGCTTTCGCGATCAAAAACATTTGCACGCCCGAAAAAAACGCCTGCACTGCAGGCTAATTAAGTCGGCATTGAACGAAACAGGAAAGAACGAAACAAACAGCAGAAAGGGTGCGGGTAGGATTATATAATTGGCGCGTTTATCTAATTACAAAATAGAATGCTTCTTGTCTTACGACATTAGGTAGCTCAAGCAACAACGACGGCGACGGTTACGAAAACGTCACTTACTGAACTAAAAGTGGGAATTCACGTTGCCTCAAACTTAATCGCTCTTATTCCATCTCGCCTCAATTCGTCAAATGTCGGCAAATTTTTCCGGGGTTGAATTCTAAAAGATTGTGTCGCAGTTCAGGAAAAGAAAAAGAAAGTCGTTGTCATATGCGCCCAAGTCCGCCAAAAAACGTGAAATTAGGAACATTCTGGTCGTAGTCTTGTAGTGACGGTAAAGAAATGTACCAAAAAAGAGTGATGCACGTGCAGAGTTGTTGTTTTTGCCAATGTAAGGGCCTGTTGGCATGGAGGTGGGGGACCCAGGTAGATGAGGTAACCTGGTTAGGTGGGGTAACGCGCCTGTCCATATAATCTCTCATTTTAATGTGAACACGTTTACATGATAGGTGAGGTGACCCGCCGCGGGTTACCTGACCTACCTGGGATCCCCCACCTTCATGTAAACAGGACCTAACCTTATTGCTTTTTGGCCGTTCTCGTTGCCGTCCCCGTCGTCGTTGCTTAAGCTCCCTATTATCTGATATAAGCGGTTTTGTTTTAGATGTTTACACTAACAAAGCAAATGAATAAAACTGTATACACTCTTTTCCTTATTTTCACACATATTAATAATACGTATTTCACCCGTGATATAATACGTATCTTATTCCCTGTGCACGCTCCATTCCGCACTATTTTTCCTTATTTTCACACATTTTAATAAAATGCATTTCACATGTGATATAGTACGTATTTCATTTCCTGTGCACATTCTATCCACACTCTTTTTTCTTATTTTCCATTTAAGTTTGTTAAAACACCCAAAAAATCAAAAGTCTATTC